GCCAGCTCTCGCCCGTCTCCTCGGTGGCCCGGGCCTCGCTCTACGACATGCAGCGCTTCGGGCGGGACCCGTACGCGGACCGGGCGCGCTATTCCGCCTTCTGAGCCGGAGGTGAGCGTGTTGGCGGCACTCGGTGCCGCGGGGGGGGGCCCCCCGCTGCCGGCGGTCCCGGTCGTGCCGGTCGAGCTCGAGGCGGGTGCCGGGTCGCGGTGACGCGGACGGGCCGTGCCGGGGCCCCGCGGGCGTTAAAGCCCGGCCGCGCCGAGGAGGTGCCGCGGTGAGCGGGGTCGGTGCCGCCGCGGTGGCTCTCGCGGCCGTAACTCACGTTCCCGCCGGGCCGGGAGACGTCCCGGCACGGTCCCCGCGGGGTGGGGGGTTCCCGCAGAGCCCCCGGGCCGTGGCTGCCACGATCACCCCCCCCCGGGGTAACTCCAGGCCGGAAGGGGCTCTGCCCCGGTCCCGGTGGGTCCCGGTGGCCGCTCGGAGCCGCCGCTCCACGTCAGGACTCTCCGGTCGCTCCCAGGAACAGCCGCAGCTCCCCGGGGGTTGCCGGGGGCTCGGCGCGGTCTCGGGGGGGCACCCGCGCCAACTGCTCTTTTCTCTTTCAGGTAAGATTTGTGCGGCTGGACGTCGGGGTCCCGTCGCACGCCGATCGGCGCCGCGCGTCTCGGGCCGCGCCGGGTCCCAGCGTCGCCGCGTTGCCGCTCCCCGGCCGGTTCCCCACGGACGCGTCGCTCGGCCCCGGCCCGGGCAGGAATTAGCTCAGCCCTTCCCCCCCCTTCCCCAGCTTCCCCCGCCCCCTCCTCCGGGCAGGATTTTGCTTTTCCAGGTGGTTTTGGGTCCTCGCCCCCCTTCCCGGGGCTCAGGTGCCGCCGTCCCCCCCCCCAAACAGCGCCAGCTTTGCTTTGCTTCGCCGCCCCCTCCCCGTCGCTCCCCCCGGAGCTGCCCCGAGTCGTCGTTTGCCTTTTTTTCTTTTCCTTTATTTTGGAGAGGCTGGAGAAGCCCGTGGTAGGTTTGTAGGCCAAGGCCGTAGCTGACCGGAGCCCGCCGCGCCGGCGGGGGTGGATCCCCCCCATCCTTAGCGTCCCCCCGACCCCCTTTTCCGGTAAAATAAACCCAGAATTTTTAACAAATGGCGCCGGCTCCGCCCCCGCTTCTTTCTCTGCACTCGAGTCCCCCCAGGATGTGGCATTGGAACCTCTTGGACTCAACCCCTGCCCTGCCCGGCTCTGCCAAGGGAGGGGCAGATGAGCTGGGGAAAGGGGGGCACCCCCAAAATATCCCAAAAGGGGGTAACAAAGAGGCTTTAATGAGCCCCCGCCTTCCCTGCGCCCTTGAGGGTTTCCCTCCTCATTTTCCTCCCCATCACGGGCAGCCTGAGCAGCAAATTAACCTGCCTGGGGCTAATTAGTCCCCAGCCTGGCTGGTTTGTCCCAATTAAGCTGCCCAGGGGTAACGAGTCTCCCGCCGGGCCGCTTTGTCCCCACGTTGTCTCGTCGGTCCCCAACCCGGCTCCCCAGATTTATTCAGCGCTCCCCAAACGGGTTTATGAGTCCCCCAACCTGCCTCGTTTGTTCCTGACCCGTCTCTCCCTCCTCCCCACACGGCTCCTTTGTCCCCGGATGGCCCCCGCCACCCTCCTGCCTCTCTGTAGCTCCTTCTGTTCTTGGGTGACGTCTCCGGTTCCGCCTGCGCTGGCTCCGCCTCTGCCTCGGCAGCTCCATCCATCGCTCCCATCGCTCACTCGCTGCCCTCACCGTGGCCCGGGGGGGCTTGGGGGATGTGTGGCTGCCCTGGAGAGGAGGGGAGAGACCTTAGATCCTCCTGCTTGGCTAATTAACACAGTGTTAATTAGCCCAGCCAGCCCCCAGACCGTGCCTCTGGAAGCGGCACACCCCACCCACTGCCCCTGCCACGGCACACACGTGGCTTTGCCCCTCAAAACCAGCTTTTCTCACCCAGAACGAGGCCCTGGCGCGGGTGGGTGCCCAGCAATCCCTGGTGTTCACTGCAGCAGCATCACGATGGCTCCAAGTCCGGCGCTGCCGTCCCCGGTGCTCGGGCCTGGCACGGCACAGCTCGTGCTCCAAATCCGCCTCTTCCGTGGCGGCAAAGCGGCTCCGGCACCAGGAGCGGCACCGAACCGGGGGGTCCTCGGGGTCCATGGCAACGGTGGCACCGGGAACTGTCGCCGAGGGTGGGAGGGAACCCCCGGGGCCAGGGAAGAACCAGGCGGGAGGCGTTGGGAACCGGAACAGACCCCAGTCTTTATTTACAGTCATAAAAAACCCCGGCACCGCGCCGGGCACGACGGGGGGGGGGAATTCACCCAAAAATGGGGGGGGAATCACCCAAAAACGGGGTGACTCGTGGTACAAAAAGAGCCTCGGTGGGCGACAAACCGGCACCGGGCGCCGGCGGCGCCACGACGCAACCGCGGAACCCTCTAGAAAAAACCTCAAATAAAGAGCGACAAACCGAGAGGAAAAAAAAGCAGCTAAAAAAGCCCAGTCCGTGCGCTGGCAGCGGCTCACAGGCGGCGCTGGTAGCCCGAGTGGACGCGGGCGGCGGGCAGGTAGTCGTTGTAGCCGCCCGAGTAGCGGGCGTACTCGGCGTGCGCGTCCGGCAGCCGGCGATAATCCAGCGGGGACTTGGTGGGCGAGCGGCGGTAGCCCAGCGGCGAGTCGGCTAAGCGCCGGTAATCGGCCAGGTCGGACAGGCGGCGCTCGGAGCCGTACCTGGGCGAGAGAACACACGGGGGTCAGGTGTGGCGGAGACGATGCCCGGATCCACCCCGGCGGCACCGCGTCCCACCCGGGCGCACGTCACGGGTCGGGTGCCACGGTGGCTCCGCCGGCCGCCGCCGGCCGCCTCCAACCCCGCGCCGAGCCCCCCATCCCGACCCCCCGGGGACGCAGAGCACGAGCGGAACCATCGCGCGCCCCCCGCGCCGGGGGTCAAGCCCTGAGGAGGGGTGCGCCGGGACGCGGCGAGCGGCAGGGGCGGGTGCGGGTGCCCCGCCCGGCGCCGTACCTTTTAGCCAGGGCGGACGATTTTTTGTACGGGTCGTCGTAGACGGCGCTGCGAGGCGGGGACAGGCGGGTGCGCTCGTAGGGCGGTGCGGCGGCGGCGGCGGCCGGAGCCAGGCCCAGGTAGGAGCCCGCCGGCTGCCCCAGCTGGCTCGGCCCGTCGTAGGCGCTGCCCGGCTGGGCTCGGTACGCGGCCGCCAGCGCGGCGGAGGACGGCTGCTGCGCCGGGTAGGACGCCGCCATGGCGCCGGAGGCCTGGGCCCGGTACGCGGCCGTCAGCGGGGCGGAGGCCTGCGCCTTGTAGGAGGCGGCGGCGGCGGCGGCGGCCTGGCTGCCGTAGGAGGCGGCCAGCGACGAGCCCGCCTGCGCGCCGTAGCCGGCGGGGAGCGCGGCGGCGGCGGGCTGGCTGCCGTAGGCCGCGGGCAGGCCGGCGGCGGGCTGGGCGCCGTACGAGGCCGAGTGGCCCACGGTGGGCTGGGCGCCGTACTGGGAGGAGAGCGCGGGCTGGGCGCCGTAGGAGGCCGAGTGGCCGGCCACGGGCTGGTAGGCGGCGGCGGCGGCGGCGTGGCCGGTCACCACCTGGGCGCTGTAGGAGCTGGCATGCACCGCCACGGCCTGGGCGCCGTAGCCGGCGGAGAGCGCGGCGCCGGGCTGGGCGCCGTAGGAGCCGGCGTGGCCGTCCACAGGCTGGCCGCCGTAGGAGGCGGCGGCGGGCTGGGCGCCGTAGGACGCCACGTGCGTGGCCACGGCCTGGGCGCCGTAGGAGGGGGCGGGGCCGGCGGCGGGCTGGGCGCCGTAGGCGGCCACGGCGGGCTGGGCGCCGTAGCCGGACGAGTAGCCGGAGGCGGGCTGGGCGCCGTAGGAGGAGGCCAGGGCGGCGGAGTGGACGCCGTAGGAGCCCAGGGAGTTGGCGGCGGGCTGGGCGCCGTAGGCGGGGGCGGGCTGGGCCCCGTAGGAGCCGAGGGAGTTGGCGGCGGGCTGCGCGCCCGCGGCGGCGCCCAGGGAGCCGACGGAGGGCTGGGAGCGGTAAGCGCCGCCCAGCGAGGCCGAGGGCTGGGCGCGGTAGGCGGCCGCCTGGCCCGTGGTGGGCTGCAGGCGATAGGCCACGCCCACGGAGGCCGAGGGCTGGGCGCGGTACGCGGCGCCCAGCGAAGCCGAGGGCTGGGCGCGGTAGGCGGCCGGCTGCGCCGTCACGGGCAGCGTCACCGCCGCGTAGCCGGCGCGGGTGGGCGAGCGCCGCAGGGGGCTGCGGTCCCTGCCGAAGTAGGAGGGGGAGGCGGGCCGGGCCGGCGCCTCGAAGGCGTCGTACTTGGCGCCGAAGCGCTGCTGGTAATCGTACAGGGACGAGGTGGCGCCGTAGCCGGCGCCCGCGGCCGAGGGGAAGGCGGCGTCGGCCGCCCGGCGCTGCTGGTCGAAGGCCTCGATCTTGGGCTGGAACTTCTCGCGGTACTCGAGGCCGATGCGCTTGGTCTTGTCGACGCCGAGGGCGGGCGGCGGGGCCTGGCCCCCGCCCTTCTTCTGCACGTTGGTGGAGAGCTCCACGTTCACCCGGCGCCCCTTCACCTCCTTCCCGTTTAGGTTTTCGATGGCAACCTTAGCATCGGCTTCGTTCTCCATGTGCACAAAGGCATAGTCTGACAAAGCAGCAGAGAGAGCAGTGAGGGGAGAAAACACAACTCGTTAGCGGAGCCGGCGCTAACGAAGCCGCGGGACGGGCCCGGTGAAGACACGACCGCCTCCGGTGCTCCTGCCCACGAGAACCTGCCAGAGCCTGAGGAGCCCCCGCCTGCCCGGCCCCACCCGGCCCCGCTGGGTCCCTCTGGCCCCCCTTCCCTGCCTCCTGCACCCCCG